CGCCCGCGGCCCCCACCCTACCCACCGGGCCATCACAGCACCTCGGACAGGCCCAAAGCTCCCCTATGGTGAGTGAGAGCCAGGACTCACCGCCAGCCCTTCACCTCCCCTATCCCACCAGCCCCCACTCCCGTCCCAGAGCCGGCCACAGAACCCAGGAGTCCTGGCTCCCCCCGCCTCGCTCTAACCACTCCCCTCCCTGACAAGCCCAAACTTACTTTTGCTGGACAAATTCCACAGTCACCAACTCCCTGACATCCCCAAAGACCTCGTGTCTCTTTCTGGAAGGGTTGGGGACAGGAATGTGTTAAAGGGGCCGGGCCTTAGGGGGCACAGCCCCCCTGCTGCCACACCCCGGCTCTGCAAGCCCCGCCATTGGCTGGCTGGTGCCCAGAGGGGGAGGAGATTAATCCCTGGTATCCCAGACTCCACACCTACCTGGGTTCAACCTGCAGTTTCTTCAACATCTCCCACACCTCAGCTGAAAGGGCAGAGAGAGCCTGTCCGTCAGGAGGCGGGGCCCACAGGGAAGGGGCGGGGCTTACACTCTTTAGCACCATTGCCCTTCATGAAGATGAAGCTGAGGACGATGAGGAAGTCCAGCTTGGCCGTGCGATGGTCCATGCAACGCACAAGGGGGGCGTCACTCACCTGGGGATCTCTGCGGAGGACTGGGGATCTGGACAAGGAGGTAAGGGGTTTAATGGCAGAGCAAAGACTCCGCTCAAACCCTCCAGAGCTGGAAAAAGAACCCTGGCGTCCTAGCTCCCAGCCTCCCCCACTCTAACTACTAGACCCCACTCCCCTCCCCGAGCGGGGGATAGAACCCAGGTAGGGTGACCAGACGTCCCGATTTTATCGGGACTGTCCCGATATTTACTTGTTCGGTCGGGACACGAATTGTCCCGATATTTTGCCCTGACATTAGGAGAGGAGTGGCAAGAGGAAAGGGCTACAATATAAAGTAGCCAAGACCGACCCACCACTGCAAGGCAAACGTAACGGCTCTGAACTATGTTTAAAGATCGCTCAGTTGAAAGATGGTCCCTCATGCAGCAGGGTGCCCCCTAGCGCCTGGCACTGACTGGCCGGGGAGCCCCTGCGCCCCACAGCGCAGCATCCCCTAGCACCTGGCACTGCCCCAGAAGAGCGTCACCTGCCCGAGGGTCCTGCTGGCTAGGTTAGTGATCTCGGAGTAGACCTCTTTGCAGTCTTTGATGGGATTCTTCAGAATACCTACAAGGGGGGAAGCGGGGGAGCCCTGTTACAGCCTTTCCGATGGCTACTAGCACCCCCTGCTGGCAAGTAGTGGCAGAACCGGAAATGGAACCCAGGGGTCTGGAGTTGTAACTTCTTAGTGACTGTTCCAGGGACAGCAACCTCCTCATCAGACACCCCGTCCTCCTCCTGGGGCTCCCATAACCTGCCTCATGGGGATTCAAGTTGGGGCTCTGAAGGTTTCAAACCTTGCTGGTGCCTGGGAAATCAGGACCCCTGGGTTCCATCTGCAGCTCGGGGAGGGGAGTGGGGTCTAGTGGTTAGAGCAGGGGGGCTGGGAGTCAGGACTCCTGGGTTCTCTCCCCGGCTCTGGGAAGGGAGCGCAGGGCCGTGACTACAGAAAAGCTCATCCAAGTGCATAGATGTGGCACGTGCCGTGTGAAAAGCACCTTGCTGAATCCTGACTCTGCTGCGTCAGAGACCTGGGTTCAGACTGAGTGGGGAAGAGAAGTGGCCTCGGGGAGCCCCTCTGCTAACCTGAAGGGGGCTGTGGAACCCCCCCCCAACTCCATGACCATCTAGCACAGGGGTCCTCAAACTGGGGGTCGGGAGCTGTCACCCTCCCCCCCCAACCCTGCTTGGCTCCAGCATTTGTAATGGCGTTAAATATATTAAAAAGTGTGTTTAATGTAGTGGGGGGGGGTGGCACTCAGAGACTTGCTGTGTGAAAGGGGGCACCAGTCAAAAAGTTTGAGACCCACTGATCTAGCAGGCATCTTATGTGCCCGTCGGATGGGGATTTTCTTCTAATCCTTGACCAGCTGGAATTGCACCAATTTACTCAGCTGCAGCGGGAGGACAAGCTGTGTCACCCCAAGGGAGGGGGCTGCCCTGGGGGAAGAACAGGCCCCCAGGAGCCACAGAGACCCCTGAGACTCTCTCCAAGTTGCGCTGCACCTGGCTGGGGGTCTGGGTCTGGGTCAGCGCGTCGTCCTCTTCCAGGGCCACGTTGTCCACCTGGGCCGAGGCGGGAGCGGAGCGTGGGGGTAGGGAAGGGTTTGGGTGCCAGACTCTCTTTGCGAGGAGGGAGAGCTGGCTAAGGGAATGGGGCCTTTCCCCACTAGGGGGTGCCGGCTCCCATCTGGCCCCGGGGGGGGGTGGCTGGGGGCAGAGGGGTGAGGAGTGGGGCATGGGGGGAGGGGGCACAGTGTAGGGGAGTATCCCCAAGGCAAGCTCCAGCCCTCGTTCGGGCCAGCGCTCCCACGCGGCTCGTCTGCCCTGTGGGTACGGAGGGGACAGGAGCAAGGGGGGGTCGCTGAGGGGGGCCGGGGCGCACCCTCTGCTCCTCCCCCCAGTGCCGCCCTGGCGGATCCCAGCTCCCAGGGGAGGGGCTGCCAGGCCCATGCTCCTGCCTCTGGGCCCCACTGTCCCCATGCCAGGGGGGCTCAAGGTCCTTACCCCCCCCCCAAGTGCCACCTCAGCCCCTCCCCCGTCCCTGGGACTGTCCTCACTGCCTGGCCCCCATCCCCAGGGGCGCCTCCAGCCCCCTGCAGGGGTTCCCCTTAGCCCTGTTCCCCTGGGACACCCCCAATGCCTGGTGCACCCCTCCCCCCACGAGCTCCCTCCCCCCACAGGGGTTCCCCAGCCCTGTTCCCCTGGGACACCCCCAATGCCTGGTGCACCCCTCCCCTCGCAGGGGTTCCCCAGCCCTGTTCCCCTGGGACACCCCCAATGCCTCAGGCTCCCCCCAGCCCTGCCCCTGCCCTCGCCCTCACCCTCGTGCTGCGAACGGCCCCTCCCCCCCCAGCCCCACCCCCGGCCTCATGCTGCGAATGGCCGCTCCCCTCCCAGCCCCGCCCTGTTTTGCGCCACTCCCAGCCCCGCCCCCTCGGGTTTAAACAACTGCGCCCGCACGATGGCGGCTGGTTTGCAGTCACGGTGGGCACGTGGGCGCCCTCCCTGGCCCGCCCCCTACAGGCCACGCCCACACGTACGCCCGCCAGCACGCCCCATTGCAGCTGCAGGACCCCCAGGACCCGGTCTCCTGGGTCCGCAGCCCCGGGCCCCGCCCCCACAGCAGCTTCAGGGGGACACTGAGGTGACACCGATTGGGGCCAGGGATTTCCCTGCCCCCCCCCGGGTGTGTGACCTAGTGACATGCCAGCGTCGTGCAAGGGCGACATTCAGACCGGCCTTACCACGCCAATGCGTGTCGCTGGGAGAGGCGCCCACACCCGGCCTGGCTGCCGTCCGCAGCTCTGGTGTCGGCGCCGTCGGCCGACCGAAGCGTCTCAGCGACGTCTGCGTGAGCCCTCCCTGACCGCTAGGGATGGGCTGGGGGGAAAGGCTGTATTTACATTCACCCCTAATCTACCTGGGTATCCTGCAGGCAGAGCGGTGCTGCCCAAGGGATAGATTTTGGCTGGGGTTGGGCTACAGATCACTTGAAGGCGGAGGGTGGCGGGGAGAAATGTTGTTCCTATTGTATGAGTAAAGGGCAGTAGACCTGTACTTGGCCTGTGCTGATTGAGGGCATCGAGAGAGAGGGTGGGGACCTGCCCCTCTGCACTGCTTAAAGACAGAGCCGGTTAGGCTCCATAGATCGTCTTTTGTTCTGTTCAGTGACCACTGCAGCTGAACTCACTGATAATCCGGTCCAAGTGCTTAGTCCTGCTGTGGGACAGTGTTTCTGTGGAAGGGACGGCCCAGACCTCACTAGCAGCGAGGTTCCCCCCCGAGAGCTCAGCTGAAATCACTGAGAGCTGGTGGAACCGCAAGAGACCAACTCGCAGAGGTCACGGGGCAGGTGGCAGCAGCAGGTGATGGCGCAGGGCCATTGGCCACAGAGCGATGGAGTGAACGGTGGCACAACGAACAGCCGTGGCCAGAGCGAACAGTGAGCCGCTGGAGGAATGAGCAAGGTGCCTTCTTGCCCCCACCTGGGAGGTGAACTCACATGAAAGCACCTCTGAACTCGGAGTCTCCACTGACTAAGGACAACGCCGGTGAGTGGGGTGCGGTGGAGGGAAAAGTGAAGGGCACGTTAAATAAACGTTTGTTTGTTGGACTATATTTTAGTGACTTTGCTCCCGAATGCTAGATTTGTGACTGGGAATGGAAACTTATATAAATATGTTTCCTAGTAGGCCAAGATTTTTTAAATGCATTATTTGCCAAGGTTGTTATCTCACATCGTTGCTATCTTGACAGGTCATTATGTTGGGGAGTTTCTGTACTAAACGTTTTTATTATTGTAATTAATTTTTACATAAGAATGGTCCTACTGGGTCAGACCAATGGTGCCTATAGCCCAGTGTCCTGTCTTCTGACAGTGGTCAATGCCAGGTGCCCCAGAGGGAATGAACAGAACTGGTGATCCATCCCCTGTCACCCATTCCCAGCTCCTGGCAAACAGGCTAGGGACACTCAGAGCATGGTGTTGTATCCCTGCCCATCCTGGCTATTAGCCGCTGATGGACCTGTTCTCCAGGAATTTATCTAGTTCTCTTTTTAATCCTGTTATAGTTTTGGTCTTCACAGCATCCCCGCCAAAGAGTTCCACAGGTTGACTTTATGTTGTGTGAAGACGTACTTCCTTTTGTTTTTTTAAAACTGCTACCTATTAATTTCATTGGGTGACGGCTAGTTCTTGTGTTATGTGAAGGATTAAATAACATTTCCTTATTCACTTTCTCCACACCAGTCAAGATTTTATAGACCTCTATCATATCCCTCCTTAGTCGTCTCTTTTCTAAGCTGAAAATTCCCAGTCATTTTAATCTCTCCTCCTGTTTCATACCCCTAACCATTTTAGTTGCCCATCTCTGTACCTTTTCCAATTCCAATATATCTTTTTTGGGATGGGGTGACCTGATCTGCACACAGCATTCAAGGTGTGCATGTACCATGGATTTATATAGAGGCAATATGATATTTTCTGTCTTATTATCGATCCCTTTCTTAATGATTCCCAACGTTCTGTTGGCTTTTGTGACGGCTGCTGCACATTGAGTGGATGTGTTCAGAGAACTATCCACGATGACTCCAAGATCTCTCTTGAGTGGTAACAGCTAATTCAAACCCCATCATTTTGTATGTATAGTTGGGATTGTTTTGCAATGTGCATTACTTTGCATTTATCAACATTGAATTTCATCTGCCATTTTGTTGCCCAGTCACCCAGTTTTGTGAGATCTCTTTGGAACTCTTCGCAGTCTGCCTGGGACTGAATTATCTTGAATAGTTTTGTATCATCTGCAAATTTTGCCACCTCCCTGTTTACCCCTTTTCCAGATCGTTTACGAATACGTTGAACAGTAATGGTGTTAGTACCGACTCCTCAGGGATACCACTATTTACCTCTCTCCATTCTGAAAACTGATCATTGATTCCTACCCTTTGTTTCCCATCTTTTAACCAGTTACTGATCTTCCCTCTTATCCCATGATGGCTTACTTTTCAAAAGTCAATTTAAATTAAACACGTTTAAATATATATATATATATTATTTTAGAAATCTAGACCTGTTATGTGTTTTGCTGTAACTTGCATTATCCTTATGTTAAATTTGCATTATCCTAACAAAACATTTACTTTATTCATATCTCTTTTATATGTTGCAGGTCAAAGTGAAAATGAAAAGACAAAAAACAATACAATAAATTTTTCCACTCAAAGGCCTACAAAAACTAACCAAAGGTGAAGAACTCATACAA